GAATATAATTGTTATAAGGTCATATATAACAAAAACAATTTTTAATTATATTTTTTAGAAGTTTTATAAAAAAATCTCTTTCGATATTTCTTAAAACTATGCATAAAATTATTTTTTAAAAAGGTGTATTTTTTATAAAAGTTTATAATGGGTTTTAAATCAATTTTCCAAGATTTAGGAAAATTAGTCATTATTTGTTGGACCAAATAAAATAGTTTCTTTTTGCGAAGAACCAAAACATTTTTGGAGAAACTCTATGAAGAAATTATTTTTTAATAAACATATTTAAATTTCAGTTTTCGTACAAAAAAAAATACGTTTTTTTAATACAACGTGTTTTTTATAAAAAAAATTAAAAAGGAATTGCTTAAAAATAAGCTATATAATTTAGCTAAAAATAATCTTTTATAAGTGTAAGAATAACAAATTTTTAAAAAACCTTAGATTATGTTTTATACAAATTAAATAATTTAATAGATAGCTAAATGTGTCATATCAAACTATTAAAAAATATTTATTTTTGAAAAAATGCATAAATATGTAATAGGAAAAAATTAATTTCTCCATACTTCTTAGAATTCCACTTGAATAAAATAACAAAATTGGGCAATTCACAAGGTGTTGTGAAGTTATATTTTCCTAACAAAAGTTGTGTTAAAACACGACGGTTGTGAACACCTGTTACGATTATTTATTATATCTCAGCAGTTAACCTCACATAACACCGAATAAACATAGGTTGCAGAGTTGTATCGTCATGTGTTATTTTTCTTCACAAAACAATAACAACATTTTTACAACTGTCATGAAATATCATGACTTCACGACAAACACGACAAATACGACACCTTGTGAATTGCCCAAATGTATTTTTTCGTAAAATGTGTTTTTTTTTTATTTAAAACAAAATAAAGAATGTTATTAAAGGGAGTTTGTTTTTAAATTAATATTTTGGAATTATCAAACAAGTGTTTATTTAGCATATAAACTTTAATAATTTACTTTTATGAAAATGTCAAAATATTTTTAGAATTAGTTGCGAGCAATTTTTTGAACAAAAGCTTAATCTAAATGAAATTATTTATTTTTACGAAAATGTCAATCTTTTTACCTTGTTGGAAAATTTTATGGAAAAAATTAATTTTCAATATAATTCAAAATTCAGTTCAAAAAATACATTTTTTCGTGGAAAAGTATATTTTTATAAAATAATATATATAAAAATAAAAATAAATACATACAAAACTTATATCACTTACATACCATCTTTCCATGTACATAAATACTAAATGTTTTTGTCTTTACAGATGTAACGGTTCAAAGCAAAGGATCCTGCAGCACTCGGTGAATTGTCGGAGCTCCATTGATACCGAATCACTAAAGCCGACCGAACGAGGAACACATTAACTAACTTCTAGCGAATTTCTAAAGTATTTAAATTTTACTTGCATTACTCCTAACTTAATATAAAGTTAGTTTGGTAATAGATATGTATTTTAGTACTACTATCTACTACTACTACTACTACTACTACTATTACTACTATTTTAGTTACTACTTAGGCGCATTTGTAAATTATACTTATTTATTTATTTGTTCGAATGAAATGCAACTCAAAGAGAATAAAATATCAGAACTATAAATTTATACACAAGTGGCTATATTTTATGTACTAAATGATATTTATGTTAGAAATTAGAGTAATGAAAAGTTTGCCAAAAAGTGTAGTCCTCGCTTATTGCCTAAAATCTTAATATCTGGTCCTCTGACTGGCTTTTCAAAGCATCAGATTTATGTATGTATATCCCAAATAGTTGGAGCTGAGTCCAAGTTGACTTTCTATGCAAACTGGAGAGAAGGACCCACGATTCTTCTTAAAAGTGCTAGAACAGCTGATTGACTATCAGGTATGCACCAGATAGGCGATCAACTCAGGTTCTAAGAATTCAAAAGCTTCATAGTAAAATCGTTTTAGTATAAATCGGAACATGTGTTCAAAAGGTATTTTAAACTTACGGTACCGCCTTTTGAAGCCAGAAATATACTATTGGAATTCTCTTATGAACATTGTAGAAATTTTTAATTTTTGTATTTTGAGCTGGAAAGCTAGAGAAAGACGTTCCTTTTTTTAAGTCAAAAATTAAAGGTCAAAGTTTGTGTTATTTAATGAAAACAGTGGCAATAACCTGATTTAGAATTATAGTCAACGATGTATCCACTTAGCAGAAAACGAAATGGTCCAGTATCAGGCCTCTTTTCTGTTTTTCAACATCGATTTGCTCGAGTCGTTGTTTTTGAACTAAGTACTTAACTGCATCCCTAAGAAACTCTATTTAAAAAAGAAATGACCATAAGGAAGAGGAGTTTTAGTTGGGCAGACTTGAGGCCGAAAATTAAGGCATGGTTATTGACGTTTGAGTCTCCGATACAAGCTAGACATGTGTTATGTGTGTTGTGGTCGATTCTGTGTAGGCAAGAGCTTAACCTGCTACAATATCCTGACTGTAACTGTGTCAGATTGACGTGGATTTGTGAAGCACTTCATCTGCTACAGACGTTGGTTGGATACCATTTACGGTACTTGCAGTTAGAGAGCTCAAGAGGGTGGTGGCAGGCCCTCGGTGAATGTCGTTTAAAGCATGTCTTTACACAATGGGGTCTAGGTTGTGAATGTCTACCGCTAATTCGTAAAGATGACTTCCGACGTACCTCGGTGACGTTCCCGCTACCAGCCAGCACCATTGTGGGTGCTCCAAACGGGAACCACTAAGCAAAAACGATATCAGAAGTGTTCTACAGTATTCCAGTATGCCTAAAACCCTGTCCGCTAGCCCCCGATGACCATAGCTTGAAACCGTCCGGCAAATCTGTTACCAACAAAGTTTCTACGCCTTTTCATGAAGCGCTGCAAGGGCGCGCACAATGACGAGGCGGGCCATTAACAGATTGAACGAAGTACTGCATATGGATGCCGAAGTGATGCAGCAATTGCTGAAGCTTGCTCAGGCCTTGTTGCTTTTTCCATTTTTCCTAAAAAATAGCTGCTGCTCCAGCTACCTTCAATTCTGTTGGAAGCGTCGCTGTTAATGGTAAGCATGTCCAATCGTCAAAGTCAGGCTTGGTATTAAGGCCAGAAGACAAAAATCTGAATCCGAAATAGTTGGTTCTAAATAGTAAAGGTAAGACCCGCCTAATAAAGAAGGTGCTTCAAATCAAGATAGGAATCTTATATAGGCCAACAACTATTGCCTAAGGTGTATCCAAAGAAAATCGGCTTAGAGCTGTTTTTCGAATCGCAAGATACATACTTCACCTCCAACCCAAAGCAATCGTTGTATTTTGACGCGTTTGATTATGTCCATGCCGTTACAAAAGCACGCAAATTTCGACATTCCATCTTCTTAGATAGCTATCGCGCACATCAAAAGGGCCATAGCTTAAGAGATGTTGTCAATAAGGCCTTTCTTCGTACTTTAAAGGTCGAGTATAAGATCAACGAAAAGAGTGCTGCGCAGATTTATGCAGCTGCCTTAACGCAGAGTTAGAGGTGCGCACATCAACATATAAATTAGACAAAGTTTTTTTAACAGCGGTCGCCCCTCGGCAGGCAATTCCAAATGCCATCAAAAGGCTTCTTATAAAATCCATTTTCCGTTCAGAGGCGACGGAAAACATTAGGTCTGATTGAATGATGGACGTGAGCTTTGCCCATATGTTGGTCTGCGTACTTCTTCATCAAATGAGTGGATGCCTTTTAATGAAATGTAGCTAAATTTAAATTGAAACCTACAGAACTGTGATGAAAAATCTTGTGAAAACTTAGTTGGAAGCTGATATTTAGAGAGAGATCTAGAATTGTAAACTGGCTGCCAGCGGCTACAGGCCCCATGCAGTTCTAATGTGAGGACTACGATGTACAAAGCTTCTGATGAGATTTTGTTTACGGACCTATCAGAGAATAACCAAGGATTACAGGACCCAAGGTGAGAAAAGTTGCCATGCGCTGACGATTTGAGCAAGGTGGGGTTTCCTCTTAACATAAACATTCTGGTGTGTTCTTAAATGCCACCAATATCGGTTTGGTGAACACAAAAACTAAATGGATATCCAGTACAATATTCGCCATTTGTTGGACTGTCTTTTGTAAGACAATTGAGAGACAGTAGACAAGATAGTTTTAAAGATTTTGTTTATTCTGGCACGAAAAAAACTCGTTTGCCAACTTTTATGGTAAAAAGCTCTTTGGACAGAAAGCACTTGAGCTTTTGTAAATGGAGATGTATGTACATATCGTCACCTAATGGTAAAAAGGTGCCAAGTCCATATTTTAATTGCTCCGAAGAGACGAAAAATCAATGTAGTTTCGTATTACCTGCCATTCTGCAACAAAAACTTAATTTTTTTTCACCTTTAGGTAGCGATATATTATTTTGTTGAGCCAATCGAGAGATTATAGGTACGAATCCTCGGGCAGCGATTTTTTTTAATTTATTATGTTTTTTATTTAATTTTATTTTTTTGTTATATAATTTTATTATTTAAAAAGTAAAATATGTATGTATATATTTTTTTTTATTTTAATTTTTCTTTAGAAACGTAGTTTTTGTATTCTTTTTCATTAAATTTTCCATTTTTAATATAATTTTCTTTTAATTTGTATATTTTATTGTTTTCAGAAAAAAAATTTAAGTGAATTAACTTTTTACTCCTTAATTATTTTGTTTATATAATTTTCTTTTCAATTTTAGATTTGTTGTTATAAAAAGAAATATTTTTTATATTTTAATTTCATTTTTAGAAACCTATTTTATTAAATGTTTTTTGGTTAAGTATTTTTAAATTTAATTTTGCTTTGATATTAAGATTTCATTGTTTCAAAACGAAAAATATGTTTTCTTTAATAGATTAAATTTTTAGAAAACTGATTTTTAGAAGACAAACCGTATAACACTAAGACCTGTTCGTCAGCAGATCTTTCTATCCTTCTTTTCTTTTTCGTTTCGATGGCTATGGCCATCTTTCAATTAGACTTTCGAAAAAGAAAAGAGCTTTCTAGAAAGTCGCCAGAATTGACAATTGTGAGTTGAAAGACAGTTGCCAGAATACAACTGTAAATCTTATTGAGGTTTAAACTTAGTTTAAACGCAAGCTAATTTAAACTACGGTCAACCAGCTTTTTAATATGAACGTAGTTTGCGTGATCTTCCTTTAAATGGGCACTTTAAAACTGGTCCTTAATCTTAAAAAACACTGTTAATTTCAAAAATTTAACGACTTTACGCATTTGCGCGCGTTCCTATATTTGCACTGCCCTGACTGATGCTTAAGCGCGTCATCTACCAACTCAATTTGCTAACTTAATGTTATCACTAATATACAACTTTGAACTATCTGGCAACATTGTCCAAACTGCTATTTGACAATTGCCGATTGACATTTGACTTTTGCTGTTTGACTGCAAAAAAAGCCGAGTCCCTTGTCAATTTTTGTGATTTTTTGCAATTCAAGAACAAATTATAAAAATTGTGAAAAGATGACGACTTATCTGACCGATAATGATGGCAAATTCATCCCAGCAACTCAGCGACCCGATGGTACTTGGCGCAAGGCTCGCCGCGTTAAAGATGGCTATGTACCACAGGAAGAGGTACCCTTGTACGAGAGCAAAGGTAAGCAGTTTGCACAACGTAGGAGTACGCTACCGCCTGGCATGTGCCCGCTGGTAGCTGAGCAAACCAAGAAAGAACGTGAAAAGCAAGAACGCGCTAAAGCCAAAAAGTTGGCCAAACAACAAGAAAACGCAAATGCTTCAAAAGCGGGGTCCGCCAGTAGCGGGAACAATAAAAAACCGAAGCAAGCCCCATCTCAATTACAACCAACTCCCGGCTTGTTAGTGTTGCCCGATACTGTTACGGCTAAGGCCGCAATACCAAAACCTAATGCTAATACAAATAAAGCATCGAGTACAAATAGCAACGATGCCGTAGCCAAACTTGCAAATGACTTGCAGTCCAGCCTAAAAGTGCAATCAGATGACGGTCATGAAGCGTTGAAGAAA